AAGGTGCCTACATCGGAAATGGCTACTGGACCAAATACTAAACGACATAGAGTACAACATGAGTCTTGAACTCGTACATATAGGCACATACTTACTCGACAAGTCATGACCGAAACCGTTTTACTTTGGTTTTCGCTTTACAAACTAGATCGTATCTTAACGTACGTTCGTAGTGTTAAAAGCTACTGGGGGCTATGTAAAAATACGGCCTCCGGTCAGTCTAAAATATCAAGATCAATAAAAACAAACTCCCGCAAACAGTGGCAGAGTTATGCTGTTACGTCTTATTGACTTTGGTTTCCCCGAGTACTATGTTCTGATAACGGTAGTGAGTTTTGTACCGACGTAATGGAGGCACTTATACTCGTATCAGGCATGACTCATTGGCGTGGTGTTCCTTATATACCTCAAACACAGGGTGCAAATAAAACACCTCATAGAGAACTAAAGAAGGTATTATGCACCGCACTAGATGACGTTGAGGATATGTAGCTTTATCATTTGAAATGGGTTCAGACTCAAATGAATAACTGTATGAATTCTCAAACTGGAACACTCCCGTTTCACTAGTGAAAATTATTCAATAAAGAACAGCTAGAGGTATATCCTGTGTGATCGAGGATATTAAGGCTCTTACCAAGAGGCAGTCCCGATCGTTCTTACACAAGCAACCACTGCTAAATCCTAACTGACTTAAATTGTATCTTAGTTTCTATAACATAGTTTAAGACATAGAAATATCCATCGAAGTTTACATGACGACATCAGGAAGAACTCAAAAAAAAAAAACGCTGGTCCAATAAAGAAATCGCGGCAATGGCCCGGCGCCAATACTACCACCAACTAGTTATGGGTAAGCCGCTAACCTCAAACCAAGACAAAGCCAGACACGACAGCTTCAACCGCTGCCTCGAGCTTACACAAATCCGGCTCTGTGTTATGATTGTAACGAATACGTACATGTTCACATTGCTTAACTACCGCACCGACGATGTAAAAGCCGGGCCTCTACCTTATAATCTTGTAATATAAACGTACTCTTAATAGTACGTAAAACGCACTTTTAAAAATACGTAAACTTTTAATGGGTTTTAACGTTTTTTATCAATTAAATACTTTTTTCATTTTACATATCAGATATTTGGACAAGGCCATTAAAAGACCCCAGTAAAATACAAAATATAAGATTTAATTTAATAATATTGATAGAACTATATTAACCTTCCAAACCTATTTATATCTGAATATTTCGGTAGCGAGATGGCTCAACCGAACATAGATTTCTAAGGACTATTAGCGTTGCCTATTTATCCTCCGTTCAGCCAACCAGATGTCTGATGAAAGCTAAGTCGGTAATTCTTGATAAGTGGCAAGTTATTGGTTAATACAATAACTATGGACATCAAGAGTATTTTTTCCAACATGTAGAAAAACCACCGTACCCCTACCCGTCTCTGACACATCAATAGATGTTCCCCATACCCCGGCTAATCAGGCTCTTGAAGTACTACTTCCGAATTTCGGTTCATACCAAATCATCGCGCTTGTTGGTCCAGCCTATGATACTTCCGATCCAGGCCAGCCAGCACATACCGAATGCATCCGTGGTCTTTAGCGGCATTGACTTACCCCAATCCTCGCTTCGCGACCGAATTATGACGGATAACCTGGTCCTGCTCGATATTTCGTACTCTGCACAAGCCCATTCCACGGCACTACACAGCGCAGACCCGATCCGTACCACAGAGGTGGGTACTCTACTTAGTAGGTCTGCAAGCGAGTACATGGCCCAAGCTTCAAACGGGAATTTACTGACCACTTCTTCCCATCGATCTTTCCCGAACTACTACAACGGACATGAGAACCATACCATACGTTCATACATTATAACATACATACGTTGTAACTTATCTTTTTGTTTTGAAATAAATAGTATTATCCCTAGTTATGAGCGTGTAGCATGTAATGGACTGCATTTCAGTGGACACCACAATGCAACTGAATGACTTCACGAACGCGGACAGATAAATGTTCCTCAACACAACAGATTGCCGTGTTGATCTTGCAAAAGTAAGTATTTACAGTTCACGAATTAACAATTAACGGCCTACTGCTCAATAATAGATGTTCTAGCACATCAAACAACAATTCGTGAGTTCTGAATTGTTCAACGTAGAGTGCGCTGGAGCTGCTGGATCTCAATGTCGGACGTGGACCACCATCGATAACATCTGTGAATGCAACGCACACGAATTGCGCAAAAGTAGGTATTTACGATTTAAACTTTAATAATCAACGACATACTGTTCAATAATAGATATTCAAGAAAGCGAACGAAGCGAGCGAATTCAAATTAACATTTTTCAAATTAATATTCAATATGTACTGAATGCTATTAGACTGTAAATAACAAAAAAAAATTTCTTTTGAAAAAAAGGTATTGGGAGAGAAGTAGCGAAAAAAAAATACTAGCTTTAAGCTGTTATTTTTTAGGACTATGCTTTAAAAAGACCAAATATTACACAAGCCGTGAGCGAATTCGTTTTTTTGTTGAAAATCAAACAAAAGTATTAAAAAAAAACTAAAACACTATTTTGTCAAAAAGTGTGTTTAATACTCTGTGAGTCTCCTCTCCACTACAAATGATATCAGCAATTCAGCACTCATCTGGAGCGAGTGAAGCGAGCGACTCAAAAATGAAACTTTGTCTTTACATATTTAAAATTCGAAACTCTTATTTTAGAACAATTTGATGTTTCAAAACGTTTCCACCTCAGGTTTAAATTTTTTAAATGTACCAGCCTCTACGACAACTTTTAATATTTTGTGTCATTCCGAGCGAACAAACCGAGTATAAAAGATAAATACTTACAAGTAGCGAGCGAAGCGAGCAATTTCATAATCATTGCTATAGAGGGTGAATTGAAAGTCTGATTTTAAATTATCTTTATATATATAGCTGACCTAGCCCTCCAAATTAATATTAAACACTGAATGCAGTAGCAGGCAAGATATGACAATTTTTAAATTTTTACTTTTTTTCGTGTTAAAAATAAACTGGCCGCCCGCCGACCGCACCACTACCCCCTTCTTTTCAAAAAATTGTTCCATTTTGAATCTATTGTTTTCTATATAAAAAACGTTCAATTTTAAATTCATTATTATTAGGGGTGAATAAAAAGTCTATTTTTATATTATCAATTTATAATGCTAGCTGGCCTAGCCCTCTAAATTAAGATTAAACACTGAATGCAGTAGCAGGCTAACTATGACAGTTAAAATTATTTAAGAAAATAACATCCAGGAAGCATTTATGATTTTGGTTGATATTTTGAATTCGTTCGCTACTTGTGTAATATTTTTAAACCTAGTATTAAAAATTGATATTATACTTGAATTTGCTCGCAATTAAAAAACAATATATTCATGTCGTTGTAGCACTATAATGGGTGAATTAAAAGTCTGATTTTATATTATCAATTTGTAATACTAGCTGGCCTAACCCACTAAAATAATATTAGACACTGAATGCAGTAGCAGGCTAAATATGACAATTACATCAAGGAAGCATTTATGATTTTGGTTGATAATTTGAATTCGTTCGCTACTTGTGTAATATTTTTAAACCTAGTATTAAAAATTGATATTATACTTGAATTTGCCCGCAATTAAAAACAATATATTCATGTCTTTGTAGCAGGAGCGAGCGTCTAATATAGAAGTTGTTTTTTAGAAAAAGTATTTTTAAACCATTTTTCAATTAAAAATATGTCGGTAGGCGCGAGCAAAGCGAGCAGCCTTTTAAAAAACAAACAAACAAATCGGCGGTGCCAGGGACGCGTAGCCATTCGTATCAACAATACTCTCGTACACCACACAATCACAAGTATTCAATATGTAGCCAACAATTTAAAAACTGTTTAGTTTTTTTCATTGTTTCTGTCGAATAAAAATCAAAAGTAACGTTGTTTTTTACTATCTTCAGTTTTTTCCACTGCTGCTATGCAATTGAAAATACCTCAACGGTTTTTTTCACACGTGAAAAAAACTAGAATTGGTTTTATTTCTATAATTGCCCAACCATGAACAGCGAGAAAAGATTTTTCACTTTCTACAGAGAAATCTACCCTCAATCGCGAATTGTTGCTGAATTGAAAGAAAATACTTGCGTTTTCATTGGTATAATATATAGACACAGTTTTTAAATTGTTCAAATTATTAAAGCTCGGTTTTAATACGCACTCGTTGTAATGTCTCGATTTTTATATATTTCAACCCGTTCCGGTCGGTTTTCTAACTCGTTGCGGACGGAGTAGTCCTCGCTGAAAAACATACTTCCCGTTTTAGCACTCGAGAGTAAGTTTTTCAGCTCGGATCACTCCTGCAACTCGTTAGAAAACCGACCAGAACTCGTTGAAATAAAGAGAAGTCTCGACATTAAAACTCGTGCGAATTAAAAACTCGCTCAAATAATTTGCAACAATTTAAAAACTGTTGATTTTTAAAAAAGTGGGTGCAGTATAGGTGCCACTGGCTCACTGCTCTGGGCAGTGTGCACCATATGTAGGCATATTAATTACAACTCTTCGTTGTGTGAGAGAGGGTCATGAGTCTTATCACTCATGACTCATGAGTAAATATGTCGATTTCATAAGTTATTTATTTTCAATTATTATATACAACAAATAGATATTTAAATATCTACACTTCAATTGGCTAGTATGGTTTTTTACATGACACATCACACGTTGACATCCGGCATCAGGTGATGTAAAAAAACTAAAAATATAATAAAATCATATTGTTTTCAAGTTAAAATAACAATACAAGAAAGCTTTCAAAATTCTGTATGATATGTAGTAAACTATTTTTTATAAACAAATTCTGTATGATGGTAATTTATCAACTAGGACAAAAAGTACATACATATTGGCATTTCTTGTTTCATAGTATAACTTCAGTTCATCTCGGCCTCTTATTAATGTTTTGTAGAACATATAGGCGGGTCTGAGAGATTCGATCTTTACTAACCTTTAGCAATCTTAGAAGATAAAACTCGTGCACCATGATTTTGCCGCACTTAAGCGTTTTGAATAGTAAACGTATCGTACTCGCATCTGGTTCGCCTCGTCGCAAAGAGCTTTTAGATAAGTTGGTGAGTTGGCGAATAGTTCGTTGTTATTGTGAAAAGGAATCCAACATGCATACTATTCTCCAGTATACAATGTACTAGTTGTTGTGTATTGAATAAGCTTGCAGTTAACGAACTTGTTGAAATTAGGTGATGAAGCTGAAACACTCGTTTTGGAATAGGCGCTTACTTAAAAAGTGCTATGTCCGCCTATCCGTGGCCTGCGTCTCCCCTTGACAACTGTAGGGATTGAAATTTGAAATCGTCCCGTCTATATTCGAAGAGAACTTGGACAAGGATGATTATCCGAATTGCTATGACTATGTGCGCCAAACAAGTATCCACAAGGCCAAAGAGGTTAGTATTCCTGTTAAAAAAGCTTTCATTTTTCGAAATATCTTTGTTGTCCATTTTGTGGTTTCGATATATATATATATATATATATATGTAAATACACACACACACAC